TGTTACCTTGGCAACTCCACTATGCTGTACAGTAGAAGCCATTTTAAGGCACAACAGGCTGCATCTTAACAAAACACACACCCCCGAGGAGTGTTAAGGGTGTCTTACCACCACAGTATTTGTTTCCAGAGAGTAAGTCATCTGTATACCAAGTTTGGTTGAAATTACCCTAGGCGTTCCAGAGTTATGCTGGAACATACACACACACACAGCCGTTTTTATAAATAGAGATAAAATTTTACAATTTCCCTGTTTTTTTAACATACACCAAAAAATCCAGCTGATGAATGACAGTGAGCAATGGGATTCATCTTGATGCACTTTGAATAGATGTGACCTTCATTGGCTTGGGGGTAATCAAGATCACAAAATCACACATATGAACAAAGATCCGTACTTCCTCACACAAATATAGAAGTCTCCATAATAGACCTGTGGGTCTATTCTTAGGAAGAAGAAGTTCTTAGGAAGTACAGGTAACCCTCAACTTACAACACTTAGAGACTGTTCAAAGTTACAACGGCACTGAAAAAAGTGACCTATGACCATTTTTCACACATGACCATTGCAGCATCCCCGTAGTCACGTGATTTACATTCGGATGCTTGACAACTGACTCAACATTTATGACAGTTGCAGTATCTCGGGGTCACGTGATCACCTTTTGCGACTTTAGACAGGCAAAATCAATGGGGAAACCAGTTTCACTTAATAACTGTGTTGCTAATTTAACAATGGCAGCGATTCACTTAACAAATGTGGCCAGAAAAGGCGTAAAATGGGGCAAACCGCACTCAACGAAGTCATCACTTAGCAACATAAATTTTGGGCTCCATTGTGTCGTAAGTTGAAGACTCCCTGTATTGAGGGCTTCTGCTTACCTGCCAATACATGACCTTGCAGGTTCCCCGTCTTCATATCAGTACCCTGAAAAGAGATAAATGATGTAAAATGGAACAAGCTCTTTTCCAAGACGCCATAAATGTACATATTGGGTAGACTTTGTATTAGAAGACTAGGAACAGGTAAGCAGAAAAAGGAAACAGAGTTGGGATTCACTGTTGCTACTGTTGTGGCCCGCTTGCAGCCAGTGGAGCTGGTGGCAGAGTCGGACAGTGAGGTGGTTGGGGAGGAACATGGGCCAGTCCTGGGGGCTGAGGAAAGCTCAGACGAGGGCTCTGCATCGGAGGCAAAGAGGGAGCAGAGCAGCAGTGAGGCAGAGGAACAGCTGGAGCCTGTTCCCAGTGTGCACATGCACAGAGCTGCCAGAAGACAAGAACAACTAAGAAAGCAG